AATTAGTTCGAGTTCTCTCGCAAAAATTATAATTGACGCGTATGATCTACCACAGATGCAAGCGAAAGAGTGCCTTTTCAATCTTCAGAAAGAATTCAAATATTTGTAGCCAGGCCACCGACGGTCAAAGCGCAAGTTACGTATTTTTTACGTTCAACGCGCTCAGGTTCACCAGTGGCTTTCTTCTCCCAACCATCTGGCGAAAAGTGAGTACAATAAGTCGCGCAATCAGCTGCTGACTCTAGTAGGTTTCCAGCAAATTATTTCCCGCAAATTACCCACAACGGCTACTACATATATACATCGAAGGCGCAAAAATGAGTGAGTCGTGCATTTGGCTGCTGATTCAGACAAGGTTTCCAGCAACAGCGTTTATTTCCCGCAAATTACCCACAAGGGCTACTATAAAGGACCTACTAGTAAACTACAACTATATCGAAAATAAAAGCAATTGTAAGTACACTACATTATCTACAAACGCCAACGGCGTCAAGTGCTAATTGGTTATTGGGGTTATTGTCGATTCAAGAAAAGCTGAAAGCACCCCCGGTGCTCGTTTTAGTTGCGGCAGGTAAGTGCCAGAAGAGTCGGTTAATACTGCACATCCACGACCATATTCCACCGCGCGACACGCGCGGCCAGCTCTTGGCTGGGCAGCGCCGACCGGTGCACACGTAGATATTGCAGTGCACCGAGCCGGGAGTCGACCATCGAGATCAGCGCCTGCTCCGTGCAGCGCTTTCCGCAGTGGCGGAACTCGACGCTGCGCAGCGCCGACGCGATGGGCACCCCGTCGGGCGGGACGTTCCAGCTCGTCAGCGCGCGCAGCAGGAGATCGCCGACGTTCCGCTGGGAGCCACGGCGCGCGGGCGCCTCGAGCACGAGCTCCCTGAGCTGCGGCACCTGCTGCAGGCACTCGATCACCTGCGTCTCGTACAGCGGGAGGTGCTCGAGCGTCAGTGCACGCAGCGGCGTCGCCCCGAGGTATGCGAGGAACTGCGCCTGCGGCCACTGGTCGAGGTGCTGGTAGAGCGGCCAGATCACCGTGTGTGCGGCGCCGCGGTCGCGCAGGGTGAGCTGTTGCAGATTCGGGGTGTAGAGGAGGCTGAAGAAGGCGCCGATTCGCGCATGGCGGCGGGGCGCACCGGAGAGGGCGTCGCGGAACTCGAGGGACAAGGAGTGGAGCGCGTCGGCCTGCGCGAGGGTGCGCCGCCGGGGCATGAAGTCGTTGATCGCGAGACGCAAGGTTTGCAGGTGCGGTGCCTCGGCGAGGAAGGCAAGGGCCTCGTCGGCGGTCCAGAACACGTCCGGTGGCGCTTGCGCGTCGGGGACCAGGGTAAGCTCGGTAAGCTGCCTGTAATCGAAACCGCCGATATGCGCGGCGTCGAATGACGCGTGGACAACGGCCAGACCGGAGAGACGCGGCGCTCGGTCGAGGGAGATCTGGAAACCAGGGATGGGCGGCTGCGACCATGGCGATTCTATTTTGAGGTGTTCGAGCTCGGGGAGGTACAGTGCGGGCGACTCGAGCGGGAAAAGGCAAGCCTCCGGTGCACGCACCGCCAGGCTCCGCAGATGTGTCGCATGGGCAAGGACTGCATCGAGCAGCAGCGAAATGGAGCTTGTGGATTTGACCTCGTCCGACTGAGCGAGGGACACCGAGAGTTGGCGTGCGCCGGAGCGGTGGAGCCAAAGCTGGATGAGTCTGTGGAGCGCCTCGAGGGCATGACCGTGCTCGGTATGGCGGCGGGTGGTGGTCACGGCGAGGGCGGACCAAATGACCGGATTGGAGAGGGCGATGTTGCGCCAACGGCGACACACCTGGGAGATGTTCAACGGGGCCTCGACAAGGCTGGGTTGGGGCGGGTGCGGGACGCATTCCTCGAAGACCATGTCCCAGAGCTCGACAGGGAGGCGGCTGGCAGGGCAGCGGCGGGCGACATACTGACGCAGGGCGATCTGGATGTGGGCTATCTGGTCATCGAGCGACGGCATCCCATACGCTGCGCAGCGCACACGGCTGCAGGCTTGTGGGTGCCCAGTGGAGCAGGGGGGCGAAAGTAAATAAAGTCTAGGTGAAACAGAGTCTAGGCATTTTATGGGAATTGGTCAAAAAAAAAGACGGGAGATCGCCAGCCGAGCCCGATGATCGACGTATGTATTGTCTTATTTTAAATGGTGATGACTTAGGCCGGCCGTCGCTAATCACTGGCAGCCTACAGAAACCGTTCAAGTCCTAGTAAAGTCCACCAAACCCTGGCCAATATCTTTTGTTCGCAGCTGACGATCAAGACAACCCTTTAACCCGATATCCATCTGGTTGCCTCCGCCACAGTATTGCGCAGAGCATGTCTTAGACTCAAATACATTCTAGGCGCCGACGTTACCTCGCTAGCTAAGGTGGCGACCCTGGATGGAGGCGCAAATTAACTCTCGGCAGCTAGTACACGGCCGCTAGCCTCGTGTTAACCTAGGTCCCAGAAGGTCAACTCACCTCTATCTTCCCACTCGGCCTTCTTCCCACCAGCCGCGTGAAAACACCGACGTCCATCCCATCCTGTCCTTCGTGTCTACCGTCTGATTCACTTCAGTCTCGTGTACTTGGTTCAGGAATATCCACTGTCCCACTCCCGGTCATCTTCATCTCTGATTCAGATGCAGAAATAATGACTTCCTATGTCCGAACACGCCATTCTGCGCAAATCTATCTCACTTGCAGTGCTTTTGCTGACTCCAACGTCGGTCTCCGTCAACACACGATGTCTCAGTCTCGGTTCTTCTCAGGCAGCGAGTGTATTTATTTTCCTGTGCAGATCCGTCCAATTCCTGAATGGTCGTCGACGTGAACGCTGCGACAGCAAATTGCCGTGCTCCAATCACTCTCACGATGAGCTATCAAAGTGATGCTGACGCTCAATACGCCGCGTACTCGTGCCGCCACGCGAGGCACCGCCAAGTTGCCGCCAAGGAGAATAAGAATAAACCAGTAGGTGAAAGAATAGAAAAGGGGTACAATGTCATTTGAGCGAGACATCGGACGCGCCGGCATGCCACGCGCGTTGCATGCACTGCAGGCACACAATGTGCAGGGGTACTCCACGTTCCGTTATGTCCGCGACAGAGAGGTGCGTGGATGGTTTCAAAATTATTATACCCTTAGTGAAAAATACCTTTTGAATCACAGTGCTGAAAATACTAACTCCCGACCCTGAAAACACCTATGCGTCATCGGGTCCGCATCGAGCGCCGTCCTGTTGTCCGCAATGTAGTCGATGTCCGCGGACGCGAGCCACCCGCGTCCCAGTTCGCGACGCGCGTCCAGTGGGTCATTTAGAGACCTCCGAGAGGTGTGCGGGGCCATCCAAGCGCGGCGGGCTCCGCGTCCTTAACCAAAAATCCAGCATCTCCGCATTCGAATCCTTGCGCATGGTATTCTCTTCTTCCTGTCGGCGCCCCTCACAGTTCCTCCCCGCCCTCAAAATCTAGTTGATGCCCACCCCCGCCTTTGTGCTCTGCGTCACGATCTGAAGGAGGCGATGACCACTGCAACCTGCGAGACCGCGCGGGCCAAGTCGCAAAAGTACCTCGTCCTCGACCCGCCGTCGGTCGTAGACCACTGCGCCAACGTCGATGCGTACGCCAACACCTGCGCGGTGCTCTCCTCCTCGCTGCGCGTCGGCGAACTCATCCGCCTCGAGAGACCTCGTGCACCTGCACACGTCGGACGCCGCCGGAACATGCTTCATCCGCACGGACCGGCTCGACGCTGAGACTCATTGGAAGCTGCGCATCGTCCCCGATTGCTAAGAGCTCGAGGAGGGCTCGTCGTCGAGGCCTACGCCGACGCCTTGATCGAGGACATTCACGCTCAGCACCCTGGCGCCGGCGCAGGCCCTGCAAAGCAGGGAGTCCGTCCCACTGGACCATGGTCGCGCCGCAGAGAAGGTCCCCTGGCCCAACACCATGCTGCCGTGTACACCGGCGCCGAGACGCGCCGTCATGGACACGAGCCCCCGAGACCATAGCCAAGGCTGGGCTGCTCGATCTCGACATGGGCAAAACGGTGTACGCGCATCGGATCCCGACACGAGTGTGCGGACGAGCGCGCTCCCCCAGGAGCTCGGGCGCATGGTATCTGCTTAACGACAAGATGGACCTGGACACAAATTGGCGGGCTCCTTTTTTTTTCAAATGCACCCGCCGAGCAAAACTCAGATCCGTCGAAATAGCGATGGGAAAGGGACGGTTTTGACTCTATAGATGACGTTACACACCAGTTCGCCGTCGCATTCGGCGCCCAGAAAAGTGAGCCGAGATTCCCATTGATGTGCACCAGATGTAACTTCCTTCAATCAAGCTCACAAGACGACGGCGCGCAGCTTGAAACTCCAGGGAGACGAGACATGTCCTGCCGGGTGTGGGACATTATTCTCAGTCTCGCGCCATGTCGCAACGTCGATTTTCTTTCGAGGGACATGGCTGCTGCCGTGTGCTAGGTCGCTCCAATCCAATCCCCATCGGACGAGGGTCGCGATCGTTATCTGGACGCAGTCGATTGGGCTCACGCTAGTCGTCTTCGATCGCGCGCGCATCCAGTTACGCCGTCCGGCGCGCGTCTCTCGGTCAAGTCGCTACGCGTACTGTCGCGGGTGGAGCCCGACCGTATTATGTACTCTTTTTGGTACGCCCCCTGATGTCCCTCGAGTAGATGCCTGTACACGGGCCAGAGAGTCAAATTTTCTCCTTCGCTATCTTCACCGAGCGATCGCTGTCGCAGCTTGGATCTGGATTGGTGTAGCGGGTGAACATTGGTGTAGCATTCTTTTGCCTTTTACAAGCCAAATCCGTATTAGTGCGGGGGTTAAATTTAAACACGAAGAATCGATATCCTTGTATGTGTTAGCATTACGAACCGGATTGCGTTTGTTATAAAAGAACTACAGTCGGTTACTACCAAAAAGAAAGAAGGAGAGAGAGAAAAAAGCATGTCGCCAAAAGAATTCCGAATCGGGGAATCGAACCCCGGGCTGCCGCGATCAGATTACGCAACTTGAGAAGATTACATAAGACTGAGAGGCGGCAATGTTAACCCCTACACCAATTCGGACATATGCAAAAGCCCTTGGAATAATATCAACCGGCGAGAATTCATCGGTCGCTCAGGCACACAAATGCTTTCCATGTATAATTTACCGGCTCACGTAGACCTCTGAATTCGCATCTGGTCTCATATATGACCAGCTGGAGGATATTCAGAATTAGTACCGAGTTCTCTCCCGGCTAGTGCATGCTCTAATCGTCCTCCTCGTCCTCCCTACTCTCCATCGGTGGCCACAAGCTCGTTATGGCACTCTCCTCCTCCCCGTCTGTACCCGCACCCGACGGCCGTAAAATCCGGACTGCCTCCCAGAAGACCCGCTCCGCGTGCACGGCCGCGGCGTCGCTCGCGTCGGGGAGGGGGAGGAGCGGCGGGAGGGCTACGGGCGTGAGATGGGATGGGGCAACGCCTTCGGTTCCGTCTTTGTTGGGAGATTGCGGGCGTACTTCCTCCCCCTGGGACAGTGCGGATCCGGATGTGGAGGGTTGAGCTGGTGCCCCACCCTCCTCGCGCGCGGCGGGATGCTGCATGTAGAAGGTCGAGAAAAGCGGTGTTAGTGGTGGCGCGTCTGCACCCACGTTGACGCCGGTGTCCGCGAACGTGAGCACGGCGTCGAGGTAGGGCTTCAGCAGCGTCTGCGGGTCTGGCTGCGGGTCGGCGTGGTTTGGAGTCGGTGGGAGCGGGAGGGCGAGGTAGAGGATCCCTGGATGTCCGATTCAGTGGGGAGACAAAAATGAAGGAAGATGAAGGAAGAGAAGAATACAATGAAAGATGAAGAATGTAAGATGGACGCACATTTCCCCTTCGGACAAGACATGGTGCCTTCGCCTGTCAGAAGGACGGTCGCGGCGGCCGTTGAGGAGCCCCCATTGGAGAGGGAACCTGGCGGGAAGACGAGGACGGCAGTGTCTAAGACTGGGGCAAGTAAAAGTGCCGGTGCGGAGTCAGATGCGACGGGGTCTTCGTCAGTGGGATCAGAGTCGGCAGCGCCATCATCGGTAGACGGGGTCGCGGGGACACCGAGAGAGAGAGGGCAGTCGATGATGGCGATGCAGCGCGCGACAGTATAGTTTGACGAAAAGGCGGAGAACGGCGCGGAAGACGAGGGCGGGGGCAGCACGGGTGTGGCTGTTGCGTAGGGTGGGGAATAGGATGGGGAGGAGATGAGGAGCGAGCAGCTGAGCGGGTCGGGAAAGTCCGCGAGACGGAGGATATGCTTGGGCGGAGAGGGTGAGGAAGAAGAGAGGCTCGATATGTCCCTGCCGAGGATGTAGACTGCGCCGCTGACTGCGGCTGTGCGGCAGAAGCCTTGAGCAATCTCGCCGGAGCTCCCGTAGTGTCCGACGAGGAAGGGGGAGGTTCCGTAGCGGCCTGCGGAGCGGAGGTATCGCCGCAGGCGGTGGAGGGCAGGCAAGGTGGGGTCTAAATTGAATAAGAAAAAGTTTCAAGGGCAGAGGAGAATTGCACGGACCACTGGGAGAGAGGCAGTACGCCAACGCGTAGGCGATGGCGTTTGTCATTTCATCGTTGAGGGAAAATACAGCTTTCAGATATTCAGGAAATGGGGTCTCGGTTTGGCCCTCGAGCTCCTTCTTGTCTTCAAATTCCCCGGCCGCGAACATGAGAAAACGCATGAGACGGCGCTTGTCGAGTAGCGAAATCTCCTTGTTCTTGAAGACATCCTCCTTGCTGCCTGGTACAGGCTTGACCGTGCCGGAGGGATCATAGACATAGACCCGTTCAATGAGGCGGAATCCCCCGTATCGCGCGACGCCAGAAGAGACCAGGGCGTCGATGAGCGGTCCAGTAGAGGGGATGAGCGAGGGCGAGAGTGAGATTGAATAAGCGCGGGCCTGCTCCATGGTATCCCCAGAGCGAGAGAACGAGCTGAAACCGGGTCGAGGTGTGTTCTGCCATTGGATGAGCTCCTCAAAGGAGAGACTAGCCTCGCCGCCGCCGTAGTATGGGTTCTGGTCGATGTGCGCTACCTTGAAACCTGCCTTGGCGAGTGCGCTGAAGACTAGCTGAGATCTAAAGCACTTTTGGCGTATTTTGAGTGCTCACGCAGCAGAAATGGACTCTACAAGTCCTGTTCCAAGAATTATTATGTCGAACGCGCCTTCGTCGTCCATGGCTGTTGCGGTTAGTAATGAGTAACGCGACCGTGACGGCGCGTTACACCCTTTGATTCCAAATTTTGCGCTCGGCTCCGTCTCCGCGCTGACCAAAAAACAGACTCTTTCTGCACCGCTCACTAAGCAGCGGTCAGCCATATAAGTGGGACTGTGCGCTTTCTTTCAGAGAAACCAATCTTTGCGAAATCGACATGGAATTCATCCCTGGCCCGCCCGTTCACCAAATTCTCTGTGCGGATTGTGGTGCGTCTTACGGGCTGAAGCATCGAGGTAACCGTTAAAAGGTGTTGTTTAGGAACTCCAATTACACCGAACTCGGCCAATCTATGTGTGGCTTGCCTCCGAAATTCGTGAGTGCATGTAGCTCGTTCATGCGAATAGATTGTAAAGATTCGGCGAGGTAGCGTAGATATAACAGAGGGTATCCCGAAGCAAGGTCGGTATCTTTTAAGCTACATGTGCACCCATTTAATATTTTTTTCTCCAGCCTCAGTATCGTTTTGCCGGAACTGCGAGCGCTTTTTATCTCCGCCACAAACATGGACGCTCGCGCGACCAGAGTCGCCCGAACTGCTTTCCATCTGTCTTAAAAAACTCAAAGGCCTCAACAAAGTCCGTCTAACGGAGGCGCATTTCATCTGGACCGAGCCGCATTCAAAGCGGCTGCGCGTCTCGATGACCATCCAGAAGGAGGTACGCGATAAAAGCTGTTTTTCACCCGATTTGTTGTTGACTGCGTAGCAGGTTCTGACGAACACGATTCTGGAGCAGACGTTCGAGCTCGAGTACCTCGTGCAGCACGGGCAATGTCCAGACTGTGCGAAGCTGGCCGCGAAAAACACGTGGAAGGCACTCGTGCAAGTGCGCCAAAAAGTGCCACATAAACGGACGTTCCTGTTCCTCGAGCAGTTGATCCTGAAGCACGGCGCGCAAAAGGATACAATCGCGGTGAAGGAGGTGCGGGATGGTCTCGATTTCTTTTACAGTCAACGCAGCCACGCGATCAAGATGGTGGAATTCTTGTCTAGCGTCGTCCCTGTTAGGTTCGCCAGTAGCAGTTCTGTTATCATCATCATTACTGACAAGACTGCAGATCAAAATCGTCCGAGCAACTGCTATCCTCCGACACGCACACCAACACCGCCAACTACAAATTCACGTACTCGGTCGAGATTACGCCAATCTGCAAGGATGATATGGTATGCCTCCCGCCTAAAGTTGCACGCTCGATGAGCAACATAAACCCACTCGCCGTCTGCGTGCGTGTCGGCAACTCGCTGCAGCTGCTCGACCCCACGTCGCTGCAGGCGGCAGAAATCTCGTCCGCCGCGTACTGGCGCACGCCCTTCGACAGCCTCGCGACCGTGTCCGACCTCGTCGAGTTCACCGTGCTCGACGTCGAGCCTGACGGACGCGCGCGCGGCAAGTACGTGCTCGCCGACGCTCAGGTCGCGCTCGCCGGTGCGTTCCGCGCGCACAACCCCGACGACGACGACTCGATGGACTACGACGGCGGGCGCGCTGCCCAGATCTACCACACGCGCACGCACCTCGGCGCGATCTTGCAGCCGGGCGACACCGCGCTTGGGTACCACCTCACGAACGCGAACTTTAACAACGCAGACTATGCGGCGCTGCCCGGCGAGCGCCTGCCGGATATTGTGCTCGTGAAGAAGGCGTACCCGAACCGGCGGAAGAAGAGCAAAGCCCGGAGCTGGCGGCTACGGAGTATTGGCAAGGAGGCGGGCGAGGAAGGCGAAACGGGTGGGGGCCGCGGTGTCGTGGGGCGCATGGGCGGGCGCGACCAGAAGAAGGTAGAGGAGGACTACGAGATGTTTTTGCGCGAGCTGGAGGAGGACCCAGAGATGCGTGGTGCGGTCAATCTGTACAAGGCGCCGGTCGGGGACACACGGATGGGCGCCCCACCCGCAGAGGGACGCGCTCGGGGCGGCAAGGGGAGACGCAAGGCGCAGTTCGCGATGGATGTGGATGCCGTCGAAGAGGCGCCTCCGGAACGGATCGTCGACGTGGAAGACGACGATGAGGGACACGAGGCGGACTTCCCCGAGGTCCAATTGGATGAGCTTCTCGAGGGCTTTGACGAGATGACGTTGGGGACCGGTGAGGAAGAGGAAGAGGTGTAGACGCGGTGTATCGTTGTTCGTTGACAATTTTTTTTTTTTGAGTTCCTTTTGAGTTCCTTTCAAAAGTGCTTTTAATTCGGTGATGCCGACACTACAAGATCCTATACAAGCCGCTGTTCCAACGCACAAGTATTCACTTCGCGCGGTACCCATCTTGTTCAATGAATCTTGAGTCATGCTTTTATTTCCGAGATGGTTAGCCATTTCTCATGCACAAATTCCGAGTCGTCCCAGCGCAGAACTCACAGCACGAACGACGACTCCATTCCACCTCCGCTCTATTCAAATGCGAGATAAAGTACACATGGATTCTAGATGTTGTTTGTGCTATGTGATACGGAACCTAGTAAGGGACCTCATGGAACAGCTTGCTGACGCTCTCGCCATAATGGCTGCGACGAATCACCTCGCCCAGAACAGCGCCAATGTCAATGACCTCGATCTTCGGGCACTTTGCCTGGTTGTCCGCCTGGGGGAGCGTGTTCGTGACGATGAGCTTCTCGAGCTTGGAGTCGGTGACGGCGGGGAGGGCGTTGCCGCTGAGTATGCCGTGCGTGACGATGGCGCTGACGCGCGCGGCGCCGGCGTCGGCGAGGTGCGAGGCGGCGAGGATGAGCGTGCCGCAGGTGTCGGCCATGTCGTCGACGAGAAGCGCGGTTTTGCCGGCGACGTGCCCGACGAGGACCATGCGCGAGACTTCGTTGGCTTTTTTGCGCTCTTTGTGGAAGAG